CCCCAAAACCCCAAAACCCCAAAACCCCAAAACCCCTATTGATGACTTTTCATAGAAATTAGTTAGGATTTATAAATAATTAATCATGGAATCTAAAGCAGACACTCCTGACGCTGAAATGACTGTGTCAGCATCTCAAAGTGAAGACAAACCTACTTGCATCATTGTTATGGGAATGGCAGGCTCTGGTAAAACTACCTTCGTGAAGAGACTATGCTCATATCTAAGTGAAAAGGAGAATAAGAGTTATAATATTAACCTTGATCCTGCTGTTATTCAGTCTCCATTCCCAGCTCATATTGATATTAGAGACAGTGTTAAATATAAGCAAGTTATGAAGAAATACCAGCTAGGGCCAAATGGAGCAATTTTAACCTCACTGAATTTATTTGCTACTCAATTTGATCAAGTCATTGGATTAATTGAGAAAAAGCAAGGAGATTTCAAGCATATCGTAATTGACACTCCAGGGCAGATAGAAGCCTTTTCAATGAGTGCAAGTGGACAAGTCATCACCGAATCGCTAGCATGTTCTTTTCCTACAGTGATTGTTTATGTAATAGACACGGTTAGAGCTGAAAATCCAAATACTTTTCTGTCTAACATGCTTTATGCCCTGAGTATAATGTATAAGACAAAGCTTCCTCTTGTCTGTGCCTTCAATAAGACTGATATCTTGAGCCATGAATTTGCCCTCACTTGGATGAAAGATTTTGAGGAGTTTGAAGACGCTCTTAATTCTGATAAATCTTATCTCAGCACTTTGTCTAGAAGCATGAGCCTTGTCCTACAGGAATTCTACGAAAATCTTAATTCATGTGGTGTATCAGCAATGACAGGAATTGGATTCGATTCCTTGCTTGAATCTGTCCAGAAGGGTGCCAAAGAATATGCTGAGATTTTCCTTCCTGACATAAAGCAAAGAATGGCTATTAACGAGGCCCAAAAGAAGGAATTTGAGGATAAAAATATCCAAGAATTTGAATCAGACAAGAAGGAGGAAGAAATCGAAGCAAAGGCGAAGGAAGAAAGCGATGAGCTTAACAACAACCTTGAGAGCATGTATAAAGACTTTGATTCTTTACTCAAGGACGTAAATCAGTAATATACTTATTTTAATCAACTCAAGTTTCAATTAATTTGCCTTGATTTGGGGTTTTGGGGTTTTGGGGTTTTGGGGTTTTGGGG